GGGGAGGGGAGCTGCCTGGGTTCGTCAGAGATACATTTGCACATGGGCTGAAGCAGTGGGTGACTCTTGGCTTTCCAGAAACACCGGGGCTCTGCTGACAACCAACGAATGATTTGGTGTTCCCTACCACTCCGGTTCTATAGCACAGGCATAAGGCAAGATGCATGGGAGGCAGGAATCTGGTTCTAGTTCTAGCTCAGTGCGGTAGCTACACAATCTGTTGTCAATGTGAAAGGATTAAGAGTGAGGGGGTGGAGTCTAGCCTGTCAATCAGGTCGTAACGTTATGACCTCATTGGGAGGCGTTAAGGAGCTTGCTGGAGGCGGGACACGCGCTCATTACCAGAGAGACATTCTTGTTGACAAGCCACAGGGAGACAGGCTGGTGGCAGTCAGAGCCTCGGAGCTGAAGGAGCCACATGGAGATCCCTGCCAGCACTGTGATGTCTCTACTGCCACTGGATCCACAAGACTTTCTACCCATTGACCTGTGATCTTCCTGCATTTGGCGTCATGGCATGTGTTGTATGAGTCTGAAGAGGAATTTATAGACTGGTACTGGATATAGGGGCTAATATCAGACGTAAGAGCTTGGACTAGACTGAACTGGGATGCTTTCTTAATGTACAATTGCTCTTGTATATAAAGCTCTTTTTTAAATTTTTTTTATAAAGCTCTTTCTTATACACATATGAGTATCTATGAATTTGTTTCTCTAGTCTACCTGGATTAGCATACCATCATGGCCCATGAACAAGAAAAAGAAAATCCCAGGCTGGAATGAGTGGGAGAGTCTGAAGAGGTTGCTGGCCCGGTCAGGGGTCTATGGCTGCGAAGAACCTTGTTCCTTGGTGGCTGATGAATGACTATCATTCTCTGTGTCCAGACTTGAAAACAACAACAACAACAACAACAACAAAAGGCTGGCAGCCCCACCCTCGAGTGCCATGCCCAAGAGAAGCCATCTCTAGTCATGGGGCCCTTGAGTACCATACTGAGGAGAGGCCTGCCCTGCTCAGCCAAGGGATAGAACCCCGCCCTTGGGTGCCATCCCAAGGAGAGGCCCTGCTACTCACCCAGTGAAGGGAGCCCATGCACAGCTTGGCGGCCAGGAGTGGGATGGTGGCATCGTCGGGCTTCAGCCGGATGCACTCCTTCAGCACCTTCACGGCCCGAGCAGACTGGTCAAGAGAAGGCGATCTCTGTGAAACGCAAAGCTTTGGGCGGAGC